CTACCAGTACGGCCCTCGCGCTTGGTTAATAAGACATATATCTTATAATTTGGGTTTCCAAAAAGGTGTGTGTTGCATTATTTGTTTACATTAGCGTGGCATTAATGTTTTTCAAAGACTTGATACTTTGTTTGGTGCTTGTTCTTCCTGCCTAAGTTTAAGCATGCTGAAGAGGAAATGTTGCAGTATAAGCCTATTCATGTAAGACACACAGAAAGTACTAACTTAATTGATAAATACAAGCTATAGTGGTCAACATCAGGCCTGCACAAGTGGATCAATTTTTACAGCTGAAATTCATTAAGGAACATATATTTAAGAATTACTGTCAAGCAAAATTGTGCCAAAAATAATTAAAATGTTCATAAACTGAAATCCATGACAGAGCTCGATACTAACGGTAGCCCACTAGCCACAGACTAGTAGAAATTCAGTTTTGGTTTGTGGTTTTTCAATTTCCACTAGCCAGTTTGGCTAGTAAACAGAATGACATTGTCGTAACATCTAAAAACATCTAAGATGTCACTAGCCACTTAGCTAGTAAGTTGAAAAGTTACTGTCGAGCCCTGCATGAAAGGAAACAACAACAACAACAATTATTTATTTCACATCAGTAACGTAGGGGGTGGTTACCCAGGCATCCTCTTCCTTTCACAGATGTTTGACTGCTGTGTCCACTAGCTATGCACTCAATATCACTAGTATTGGAATTTTATAGCAAACATATCATAATTGTTAATAACAAAATGAAATCTTGACCCAGGGTTAACATTGGCTTATTAAGTTTAAGGTAAGACTTCCATGGAGTTCACTACAATCATGGTAGATTTTGGCCAACCCAAATGATGGAGTTGACACTGATTTTGTTTCAGGCCTGTACCTATGACCATGTAGAGCTTAATTTCTATCACAATGGGAAGCATTTGCACTGTCCTATAACGGGTGTGAAAGGAACAGTATACCCAGTATTTTATGGTAAGTATAAATTTGACACAGGCTAATTACTAACATAAGATTGAGACCAGCTTGAATTTATGTATGAAAATTATTACACCTTTCAGTCCTCTAAGCGATGGCCCTTTTCAATGCTGAAAACAAAAAGACAGGGCAATTAAATTAAAAGTATTTTTATGGTTTTCGCTCATAAAAACACATGAGCAACATCGAGGAGAATTGAGCGGCACTGTGAAAACACTTTCTGTTTATTAGTAACCAGCACCAATGCTTCAGAGTCTTCAGTTTGCTTTGGGTTTCTTTGGAGATGAAAATGGTTCAGGCCTGCCTGGAAAAGAATACATTGTGGTCCTGCAAAGTCATTTTACATCAGGACCACTTCAATAACCCTGGGCTAATGATCAGCAATTGAACTGACAAGTAAAATAAAGCATTATGTGACCTTTGATGCAACACTGATTTCTCCCTATGTTTCACAAGAGAATATATGATGATTTTAACAGAGATTCTGGCAGTCAATCAGGGAACAACTCATTCTGATTTTTATCTATGAGCTCATGGAAAGAAATGACAAGTCTTGGTCCCTACTGACTGCTGTTATTTTTTGTCTGCACTTTAAACCATAAAATGCATGCATTGCTTGGATTTTTTTTTTTTGCTTCATTTTCTTGCAGTTGATGATGGTTCAATCCTAGATGTTTGTTTCAGTGAATTTGTTTTTCACGCACCAGAGGGCTTCCAGAAGATTATGTTTGAGAAAAATCTGCTATGACCCATTGCTAAATGAGTTGCATTTAATTTAGAATTGTACCTAAAATAATTAATTTTCTCATTACAAAATAGTGTTGTAGTTTTAAATTTTCAGGTTGAAATGACTTGAAACTAGGCTCAATCATATTTTCTATTGTTTCAAGTAGATTACCATTATTATTCAATAGAGGAAGAAACATATAAACTTAGTTTGAATTCATTTTAACCTGAATTTCAATCCAACCTATAATATCATAAAACAGTGTGTGGTATAATAAATGACTTTGATGCTTTCAGTATAAAATTCTTGTGTCTTTTATATCATAATGAATGTAATTAGTATCCTCAAATTGGTGAATTCAGTTTCCAAGTGGATGCCCACATGTTACTAGTTATGTCATAAAAGCAATAGAACACATATTTTCTGGGCTCTATAATGTGATAAAGCCTTTTAGGATGTTGGAGGAACACATTGAAAGCTTATAAATCTCTCCCCTATGGCTTTTGATTTATAAATAAGCTTTGCTTGTGTTCTGCCAACATCCTGTGTGGCTTTGTCACATTCTAGAGCCTGGAAAAATGTGTTGTATTGCTTAAGTAGAGTTTAGAAGAAATAGAGGTTTATATTAGAAGATATGCATATCTTATTTTAAGTAGAAAATAAAATATATGTTATGTAACTCAACATTGAGGATTATAAATGTAGAGCTGGTTATTAATATGTCATGACTTTATGCAATCGGTGCTTCTTAGGCTTTCTCTAGAAGAAGGTTGATTTAACTTAAAAAAACGTCCTTCCACTGTTAGCTTTTGGCTCTCTTACACTGTTTTCGAAAATATATGTTCTGATAAAAGATTCAGCTACATTGAGGATTTTTGAGGATGCAATTTTGTTAAAGAATGGCTAAACTTTCATAATCCATACAGTTTTCTTGAAGCCAATATTCTTTGCTAGAATTGTGTTTTACTATTTTAAGGTTTGGAGATATATGACAAGGTATATAACAAATCTGACCAGTTTCAAACAGTACTGGCCAGTTATTCATTTCTCAATTAATTTTTCTACTATTCAATAACTAGCAATATATTCACACAGATAAAGATTTCAAAGATTTGGAAAATGTTCAGCTCTGTATAAGGCTAAGAGGGTAATTAAGAGTCTGAAAGAATTAATTAATGATAAATATAGAACAGAGATAAATTTTTTCTCTTCTCTCTCCAATCATGAATTCTATTAACTTTTCCAAATGGAGTAACATTTTTCTTATGGTCACTAGCCAGAATGTAATTCAGTTTCCCCTTGTTTTTATCAAATTTATCTGTCTTGACCAATATCCTAACAAAGCTTTTTTCTCATGCGTTTGAGTATTCAAAAGTATACAGAGTTTTCTAACATATAGTATTATACAGGATGCCTAGCTAATGGCATCTTGTACTCTCTGAATTATTTTTTCATCATTTGAAGTCCTTTGTTATATCACTGTCAGTAATTTTAAGAAAAAGTGCTGGAGCTGTTAAAATCTGTGAAATTAGTGAGGATAACACTTTAGGACAAGTGATAAACTTATTCAGAAAAATGATGCTTGATATATTATAGTTTGTGTACAAGCTAGTTACACTGTTTGCAACTTGTTCAATACCTTAGTTTATTTTTTAACAATTTCCTGCAGTGCCTTATTTTTTTTCTTTTTTAACAATTGTGTAAAATTACCATTTATGACCCCGTTGGTTTCATCATCCTCTATTAAATAGTATTTTGATTTGGATAACCTAATAATATACATGATTAATCTTAATCAATCTTTTGTAGTTAATTCAGAAATACCATTATAATTATGGTAGCAACACACTTTGATTAAAAAGTTAGTCCACTAACACCTCAGCAGAGTAAAGTTTCCCATTTCAATTTATTAGCGTAAGGACATGACCTTTCTCTCTCTCTCTTCCACCACTTGATCAAAAGTCTTTTTTTTCAAAGCCAAATTTATTTGTTATGTTCAACCGGCCAACCTGTAATATGTGGTCAACAACAGGGAATTGTGGGGTGACCGCTTTATACTGCAAGTTGACCACCGTAAACAGGTTCTACCAAATCGGAGTATTATAAAAAATAGGCATTCCGAGACTGCATGTGGCTACTGATACAGCACAATTTTATAGAAGTGATAAGAACTAGACGTTGTATAATGACGCTAGAAGGAAGTGTTGCAGAAGATTTGTATTCAAAAGCAAAACGGAAAACCTGCCGCATCCCCATAATTTTTTTAACGTCGATTCTTTCCCATCATTAAGGTTATTCACGACATTACGGGTACCAGTGGCGGACCTAGGAGAGGGATGTAAGAGCCCGCCTTCCCCCACCCCCCTTATTTTGGGTGAAAACATAAACGTAGAGGGAAGAAAAGCCGGCAGGTGTACACGCTAATAAAAATTCCCCTCCCCTCCCCCGTCACGGCTTAAGGTCTGAGTCCGCCACTGGGTAACACCAGAAGCGTGCGAAATTGAACGGAGAAACTTACGAGCGGTAACGTAGCCGTCCGAAACAAGGCTTTTGAAACCAGACGGAACCTTCAATATGCCAAAAATAAGTTAGAGTTGTTTGATCTTTTGCGAAGTAGGTATGACACTAACAAAGTAACTCATAGTGTCAGACATAGTTAACTATGTGTCAGAGAACAAAGATACTTTCTCAGACATGCTCCTTTCATCTTTAGCCCTGTAATTCATAAGTTGAAGATTGAGAAGGAGAACGTTTTTAATCCTTTTGGCATTTAAGCTAGGGAGACAAAGATGTTTGATAAAAGAAAACGCAAAAACTTCTTTTTGATATCTGCGTTGCGACATTTAATAAAGTTTTCTGGATTCTTACAAACAACGAATATATTTATTCAGACCAATGAATGGGAAAAAACATCAATTTTGCAAATAAATTGATGCTTCGTCGACAATCTTTGTTGTATTTTATTGCAGTTTTATCTAAAGCTGTTTGCACGAGGCTAACAATAGCTGTCAGATTTAAACCTTCACCATCAGGTTTCTGTTCCTATTCTCGAGCAGCGTTTAATTAAGTCAATACCCAACAAGTCCTTAACCGAAAAACTACTTTGTATGCCGCTTTTCTGCTTCTAAATCCACTCTTTCGACTTCCGAGGAGATATCGATTTGCCCATCCCGTTCATCGGACTTTTGTGCTGCGACTGATTCCTTTGCGTCGACCAAATTTGATAATACTCAAGGCTCTTTTTGCTATTAGCACCCACTTCTACTTTCTCCTTCTGAAAGGCATCTGCCGTTTCTGATCCTATAAGTTTTGCCGTTTGCAATGCAGGATCAGGACTGTTTTCTGTCTCCACAGCTAGGATTGAAGCATCACCGCGACTCAACCTATCCTCAGGTCGATTCTTTTGAAATTCCTTAGCGCTATCGATTTCCTCGCAGTCATGTTCATCGTGCGCATGCTCTTCTCCTGAAGTGGCTTTCTTTGCGTCGATGGGTTCTGATGATTTTTTTGCCTCTAGAGTTTCCATTCCCTCGATCTTAGCCAGATGTAATTTAGGATCATCTTTAGTTTTCGGGAACTTCGTTTTATGGCGAGTCCACTCGACCCACGGTAGGTCATTGCCAGATAGTAATGCACGATCTGTTTCTTGCTCAGTCGTCTCAGTCGGGATTGTACCATCACGGGAAACCAACTCGTCCCGCGGGAGGTCATCGCCAGGGTGATTCCCTTCCGATCCCAATTTTGCGATCTTGTTCCAATCAGAACCAATTTCAACCTTCTTTTTAGTAAGTACATCTGAACTTTGCGGCCGTTTGAACCCAGCCATCAACGATAGAAAATCTTCTTCCGCCACATCAGCATCACCGCGAGTCAATTTGTCACGCGGGATATCATCGCCAGACTGACTGCTGGTTTGCGATTCCTTTATGTCGGTGGTTTCTGATAACTCAGCGATCTTGTGACTATCAGAAGAAAACTCAGCCCACTGACGTACTCGATGATTATCTTTCGTCTGGATCTCAGTATCATTGCTAGGCCACTTGTACGGCGGGAGTTGCAACTTATCGCCGAGTTGGTCAGGAATAGAATCCCCTGGTAAGGAGAATGAAAACAGAACGGTACCTCAAACAATGTAAAATCCTGTTTCATCAGGTTCCAAGACACCAATTGCAAGCAAGGGATTCTCGACCATGAATGGTACGTGTCACAATTTTCAAATGATTTGAGAGGCGGAAGATACATGAAATCATATTTCAGGTACTTTTGGGGCATGAACCATCATTCAAGGTTTCAAGCCTGTTGCTATTTTATTTGCCTGAGCCACGCAATTCTCTCTTCAGTCACGTTGATACAAAAATTCAACTCACAAGTCCTTCGCCAGATAAAAGTTCATTTCATTTCAGTCCTGGGCAAGATTTTAGCACAGCCCCTTACTTTGTTTTGCATGCAGTTCATAGATAAAGAAAACAACGGCGAAAACAAAAAATTGAGCCGGTTTAGGACTAAGGGTTTGTTTTCGAATGGTGTGAAGCTATATGATAGACGGAAATCTTTACCAATCATGTCTTGCCAGTCATATCTAACGCTTCGACTGCTACTCGTACACTATTCCTGGGATGGAGAAATTATAACCCCCGTTTATATCAAATGAGAGCAATGTTATTCTTTCAGAGACAACCTCGGTGCTGTGTCCCTGCAACTAAAATGTCTCCTAGTTTGATATACCATAGAATTGGTAATAAAGAGATTAAGAAATATATCGCAAGGCGGCAAAAGGCAAGAATTGAAAATTATGCGAATAGTTCGGTTGCACTTGTTGAAAAAGATTACTTTTTATATATCTCTGTCAGTCATTTAAGAATTGAAATTAAAGAACGTAAACGTGGAATATGCTGTTCGCATTCGCGATAAACGTAATATTTCATGATTTATCTAACGATTTAATCACCTCACCAGCATTTCGTTGTCGAATCCCTGTTGGTAAGCCATTGCCTTGTTTTCCCACCACAAGTAGCAGAAAGCTAACAAAGGTGATTCTTGAAACGGAAAACATCTTCAATGTTTTGTACAAAACAGGCACCACACAAACATCCAGGATGAACTGAAAACCTGTTTTACGTAAACTGCCTCTTGGTCTTCACGTGTTTTTATATTGGAGTTAATTAACAATCTTATTGGTCGATAAAAAGCGTGCATTTTCCCCACGCTTGCTTTGTTAGAATTGTCTCACACTAGAAACTATGTGTTTTCCTTGTGATTAAAACAAAAACAAAAACCAAACCAAACCTAATCTCCTCAGTATAATCTCTACTTATAAAGTTAGGTGGTGGCTAAGTACAGTTTTTCTAAGCTATGACCGGATATATTCACCACTGAAAGAAATAACGTTACTCCACCCTGTATACAGTAGAATGATTTTCACCGACAGTTAACTTCAAAGTAGCACGCAGAGCATGTTGTTATTAAGATAGAATGGCAAAACAGCCAATAGCGGCAAAAATGGCCAAACCGCCACTAGTAGCTAAAGTTCACAAAACACAACTCACAAGAATAGCAAAACGACGACTACTACTAATACCCAAACGGCCACTGGTGGCCAAAAGGCCCAAACGGGCACTAGTGGACAAAATGCGCAAACGGCTACTAGTGTCGAAAAAGGCCAAACTCCCACAAGTGGCCAGAATGCCCAAACGGTTACTAGTGGCCAAAATTTTCAAATGGCCATTAGTTGCCAAAATGCCTAAACGGCCAGTCGGCCACTTTTGGCCAATATGCTTAAACGGTTACTAGTCGCCAAAATACCCAAACGGCCAGTAGCGGCCAAAATGCCCAAACGGTCAATACTGGCCAGAATGCCCAATCGGCCACTAGTGGCCAAAATGGCCAAACGGCCACTAGTGGCCAAAATGCCCAAACGGCCACTAGTGGCCAAAATAGCGAAACGGCCACTCGTGGCCAAAATGGTTAGATGGCCACTAGTGACCATAATAGCCAAACGGCCACTAGTGGCCAAAATGCTGAAACGGCCACTAGTGGCCAAATTGCCCAAACGGCCACTAGTGGTCGAAATGGCCAAACGGCCACTAGTGGCCAAAATGGCGAAAAGGCCACTAGTGGTGAAAATAGGGAAACGGCCACTGGCGACCAAAATGGCCAGACGGCCACGAGGATCAATTTCCCTCGAGGTCTACTTCAACCCCAAACACGCAAATCTTCCTCTAAATTTATTGGCAAGGTCCTCTAAAATGATAAAGAATAGCGTTTTTTCTTTGATTGTGATAATATAATGTGCTATTTAAGGAAAAAGCTAAGTAAATTTTCAAGTGCGAGGCGATCGTCCGAGGTGATGTGCAAGGCATCGCAACATTGGTAGGGGAAAGACTGGGGAAGACATTGACCATTACGCGCAGAGTCTGGGATCTAGCGATGTTTACGATCTACACGCAAGACAAAAGTAAAATGCCAGAAGATGAAAGGCTTACGCCTTCTTTATTGGTATTATCATTATAATTTAAACTTTCTTGTTTTTTAATCAACTGCGAGCTTCAAGCAAACTAATTATAAATAGTTTCTTTCAATTTTTCTACCGTAGCCAGCGGGCTATTAAACGTGGCTTTTTACCAGCCCGACCAAATTCTCACTAGCCTCGAGCTACCGGGCTAGCGAAGATGTCGAACCCTGTACTAGTGGTCATAATAGCCAAACGGTCACTAGTGGCCAAAATGCTGAAACGGCCACTAGTGGCAGAATTGCCCAAACGGCCACTAGGGGCCAAAATGCTGAAACGGCCACTAG